TTACCCTGGGGGGATTACACTGGGGGGAGAATACTAGGGGGGTTACGCTGGGGGGAATGCTGGCAGTATTACACTGGGGGGAGAATGCTGGTGGGATTTACGCTGGGGGGAGAATACTAGGGGGGTTATGCTGGGGGGAGAATACTAGGGGGGTTACGCTGGGGGGAGAATATTAGGGGGGTTATGCTGGGGGGAGAATACTAGGGGGGCTACGCTGGGGGGATTCATGCTGGGGGGAAGAATACTGGGGGGATTACACTGGGGGGATTCATGCTGGGGGGAGAATACTAGGGGGGTTATGCTGGGGGAGAATAATAGGGGGGTTACGCTGGGGGGAGAATACTAGGGGGGTTATGCTGGGGGGAGAATACTAGGGGGGTTATGCTGGGGGGAGAATACTAGGGGGATTATGCTGGGGGAGAATAATAGGGGGGGGTTACGCTGGGGGGAGAATACTAGGGGGGTTATGCTGGGGGGAGAATACTAGGGGGGTTACGCTGGGGGGATTCATGCTGGGGGGAAGAATACTGGGGGGATTACACTGGGGGGAGAACACTGGGGGGATTTATCCTGGGGGGAAAATACTGGGGGGATTATGCTGGGGGGGAGTATACTGGGGGGATTACACTGGGGGGGAGAATACTAGGGGGGTTACCCTGGGGGGATTCATGCTGGGGGGAAGAATACTGGGGGGATTACACTGGGAGGAGAACACTGGGGGGATTATGCTGGGGGGGGAGAATACTGGGGGGATTACCCTGGGGGGAGAATACTGGGGGGATTACCCTGGGGGGAGAATACTGGGGGGATTACACTCGGGGGAGAATACTGGGGGGAGAATACTAGGGGGTTACGCTGGGGGGAGAATACTGGGGGGAGAACACTGGGGGGAGAATACTGGGGGGAGAATACTGGGGGGGAGAATACTGGGGGGGGGTTACACTGGGGGGAGAATACTAGGGGGGTTACGCTGGGGAGATTTACCCTGGGGGGAGAATACTGGGGGAGAATACTGGGGGGTTACACTGGGGGGAGAATACTTGGGGGGTTACACTGGGGGGATTCATGCTGGGGGGAAGAATACTGGGGGGATTACACTGGGGGGATTTACCCTGGGGGAGAATACTGGGGTATAAATGCTAGGGGGAGAATACTAGGGGGGTTATGCTGGGGGGAGAATACTAGGGGGGTTACACTGGGGGGATTCATGCTGGGGGGGAAGAATACTGGGGGGAGAACACTGGGGGGATTTACCCTGGGGGGAGAATACTGGGGGTATTATGCTGGGGGGGAGAATACTCGGGGGGGAATACTGTGGGAGAATACTGGGGGGTTACACTGGGGGGAGAATACTAGGGGGGTTACACTGGGGGGTATTATGCTGGGGGGGAGAATACACTGGGGGGATTACACTGGGGGGAGAATACTAGGGGGGATTACACTGGGGGGAGAATACTAGGGGGGTTACGCTGGGGGGAGAATACTGGGGGAGAATACTGGGGGAGAATACTGGGGGGGTTACACTGGGGGAGAATACTAGGGGGGTTACGCTGGGGGGATTTACCCTGGGGGGAGAATGCATTTATGCTGGGGGGAGAGAATACTAGCGGGGTTATACACTGGGGGAGAATACTGGGGGGATTACACTGGGGGAGAATACTGGGGGGGGATTACACTGGGGGAGAATACTGGGGGGATTACACTGGGGGAGAATACTGGGGGGATTACGCTGGGGGGAGTATACTGGGGGGGATTACGCTGGGGGGAGAATACTGGGGGGATTACCCTGGGGGGAGAACACTGGGGACATGATACTGCAGGCGGTATCCTGGGGGGATTTACGATGGGGGGAGTACACCCGTGAGTGGAAATAAGGTGGGGGCGGGGAGCAGTGCCGGGATTTGGGGTGTGTGGGGGGGGGGGGTGGCGGAGGTTGCGGTGACGAGCAGCGATCTCCTTTATGGCTTTCAATGAAGATGCTGAAAGCCGCAGGAGGGAGAGGAGGAGAAGCGGCTTCCAGTAGATCGCTGCTTGTCTCCGCCCCCACCACCGCCCCTCCCACACACCCCAGATCCCGGCGCTGATCGCCGCACAGAACGGTTCAGTTTTTCTCTCTGCCCCCCCCCCCCCCCCTCCCTCCCACCGCCGGGGTTCTACACCCACCCTTCCCTTCCTATAAAACCAGCTCTGGCTAATAGGGAGCTTTTTGTTGACAAAAAAAACTTTATTGATATATAAATACGTGAAAAACAAATACTTTCTCGGGGTACTTCAACTGCGACGAAGCGCATAAATCCACCACTGGGGTCACCATGGGATCTGTCATTGTCCTGGGGTCACTAATACCGTCCAATCGCACAATACATGACCTCCATGATGCCTGACGTTGCTGTGGAGCGACTTCCCCCAACCATGACATGCATGATGACACGGTACCCCGGAAATACCTCGCGGTGTGATGTCAGAGGGGACCCCTCCCCCGCACCTCCTATAGGGCACCACAACAAAAAGCAAACTGTCCCCAATACGCCTCAGGTGTGATGGGGGGGAGGGGGAGGGACCAGGGGGCCCCAGGCTTTATAGAAGGACCACGTGGCCTAATGGATAAGGCGTCTGACTTGGGATCAGAAGATTGAGGGTTCGAGTCCCTCCGTGGTCGTCATCCATACTGCTCACCAGTCATTGAACACTGAGGTCACACCCGATCCCGTGTCACTGTACTGAGGTCACCCCGATATCTGTGTCATCACCCCGGGATCTTTGTCACTGTACTGGGGTCACCATGGGATCTGTCATTGTACTGGGGTCACCCTGGGATCTGTGTCACTGTACTGGGGTCACCCGGGATCTGTGTCACTGTACTGGGGTCACCCTGGCATCTGTGTCACTGTACTGGGGTCACCCTCAGGATCTGTGTCATTGTACTGGGGTCACCCCGGGATCTGTGTCATTGTACTGGGGTCACCCCTGGGATCTGTGTCACTGTACTGGGGTCACCCCGGGATCTGTGTCACTGTATTGGGGTCACCCCGGGATCTGTGTGACTGTACTGGGGTCACCCCGGGATCTGTGTCACTCATGTACTGGGGTCACCCCGGGAGGATCTGTGTCACTGTACTGGGGTCACCCCGGATCTGTGTCATTGTACTGGGGTCCCTGGGATCTGTGTCACTGTACTGGGGTCACCCTGTGATCTGTGTCATTGTACTGGGGTCACCATGGGATTTGTCATTGTACTGGGGTCACCCCGGGGATCTGTGTCACTGTATGGGGTCACCCCGGGATCTGTGTCACTGTACTGGGGTCGACCCCGGGTCGTCATCTGTGTCATTGTACTGGGGTCACCCCGGGATCTGTGTCACTGTATATGGGTCACCCCGGGATCTGTGTCATTGTACTGGGGTCACCCTGGGATCTGTGTCATGTACTGGGGTCACCCTGTGATCTGTGTCACTGTACTGGGGTCACCCTGGGATCTGTGTCACTGTACTGGGGTCACCACCCTGTGATTTGTGTCATTGTACTGGGGTCACCATGGGATTTGTCATTGTACTGGTGTACCCCCGGGATCTGTGTCATTGTACTGGGGTTTACCCTGGGATCTGTGTCACTGTAGTGGGGTCACCCCGGGATCTGTCGTACTGGGGTCACCCAGGGTCCCCCAGGGTCAGTGTCCCTGTTGCGGGGTCTGTGTCCCTGTAGTGGGGTCCCCCCCTCTGTGTCCCTAGTGGGGTCCCCCCGGGATCTGTGTCCCTGTATCGGGGTCCCTCGGGGTCTGTGTCCCTGTAGCGGGGTCCCCCCCGGGATCTGTGTTTACATAGTGGGGTCCCTCCGGGGTCAGTGTCCCTATAGTGGGGCCCCCCCAGGGTCAGTGTCCCTGTATCGGGGTCCCCCCGGGGTCAGTGTCCCTGTATCGGGGCCCCCCCTGGGGTCAGTGTCCCTGTATCGGGGTCCCCCCGGGGTCAGTGTCCCTGTAGTCCCCCCGGGGTCAGTGTCCCGTATCGGGGCCACCCCTGGGGTCAGTGTCCCTGTATCGGGGTCCCCCCGGGGTCAGTTTCCCTGTATCGGGGTCCCCCCCCGGGGTCAGTGTCCCTGTAGCGGGGTCCCCCCGGGTCAGTGTCCCTGTATCGGGGCCACCCCTGGGGTCAGTGCCCCTGTATCAGGGGTCCCCCCGGGGTCAGTTTCCCTGTAGCGGGGTCCCCCCAGGATTTCCTATTTTGGGGCCTTCCCATCACTAGGATCCTGCAGACTTTGTTTTTGGAGATGAAGGGAACAGATCAAGCCAGGCATAGAGCATGCTGGGAGTTGTAGTTCCCCAGTAATGGGAGGAGCCATAGTAAGGGGCGTGTTCCTTGTGGGAGGGGTGTAGGAATATAGAGGCGGGGCAGGATATTTTTCTCTGGCTAGTCTTTCCCAGAATCCCCTGCGGGGGCGGCCATGGCTGTTCTCAATGTTTTATTGATGATGTATGAACCCCGAGGGTGAGGGATGTCCCTGCCATGTCACTGAGGGCTCCCCCACCACACTCACAGTGAGCCGACCCCTCACCCCCACATTTATAGTGGTCTCGTCCGCAATGCTAGTTGGTGTGCAGCAGAATGGGCGATACCATTCAATAAATGGGGGTGGTTCGATAGTTCTAACATTTAAATAAAATCCCGGCGGTTCATGCATCGGATACGGCGGTCCGGTGTGAGGACATCCGGTGAAGGGAAATGGGTTATTGAGGAGAAGCTCCGTGTTCGCTCGCTAGGGTCACTTCACCCCCGCTTTCGCAGTGGACTCGTCCAGAGCGCCGTGACGGTGAACGCGGGCCGGGCGGTACCATTGTACTTCAGAGGGGGGGGGGGGTTTTATATCATGCGGCGGAGCTGTACGGGCCGGTTCCAGTCTGTAGGATAATAATATTCTCGGGGACGGGACGATGATCCCCGGGGGAAGGGGGGGGGGGTCCTACACTGCGTTGTCCGTCCCCCTACCGGCGAGGTGGTAGAGTCCGGCCGGCTTCCGGTGTGCTGGCGGCGATTTCCGGTTTTTGTGCGGCGGAGCGGTGAGGCCGGGGAGATGTCCGGACGCTGAGCCGCCTCTTCCTCCTCTGATGGCCGCCGACCAGGACAAGCTGGACGGACTGACAGTGCCGGGCCGCAGAACCAAAGCCGGTCAGACATCCGAGGGGGGAGGGACATGAGGGGGGACACGGGGTGGAGGGGGGGAGTGTATGAGAGGAACGTGAGGGGGGGGAGGAACGTGAGGGGGTACACGGGGGGGGAGGTGGCATGGGAGGAAACGTGAGGGGGGGGGGGAGGACGGGGGGGGGGGGGGGAGAGGGGGGTGTGGGGGAGGAACGTGAGGGGGGACACGGGGGGGGGGGGGGGAGTGTATGAGAGGAACGTGAGGGGGGGGAGGAACGTGAGGGGGCACACGGGGGGGGGGGGGAGGGGGCATGGGAGGAACGTGAGGGGGGGGGGGAACGGGGGGGGTAGGGGTGGATGGAGGGGGGGGGGAGTGTATGAGAGGAACGTGAGGGGGGGGAGGAACGTGAGGGGGCACACGTACACGGGGGGGGGGGGGTGTATGAGAGGAACGTGAGGGGGTACACGGGGGGGGGCATGGGAGGAACGTGAGGGGGCACACGGGGGGGAGGGGGCATGGGAGGAACGTGAGGGGGTACACGGGGGGGGGAGGGGGTATGGGAGGAACGTGAGGGGGTACACGGGGGGGGAGGGGGGCATGGGAGGAACGTGAGGGGGCACACGGGGGGGGAGGGGGTATGGGGAGGAACATGAGGGGGCACACGGGGGGGGGAGGGGGCATGGGAGGAACGTGAGGGTGGAAGAAGGCGGGTGTATAGGGGGGTACATGGGGGAAGGGTATATAGAAGACGATATGTGGAATGGGAGGGCTATTTTAAAGAGGTCTTGGGGGGTACACGGGGGGGGGGGGGGGGGAACACATGGGGAGGGGGGAATGAAGTCTGGGGGGTACACTTGGGGGAGGGGGATGAGAGGTCTGGGGGGTACACTTGGGGGAGGGGATGAGGGGTCTGGGGGGGTACACAAGGGTGGAATGAGAGAGGTCTGGGGGGGTACACAAGGGGGGGATGAAAGAGGTCTGGGGTGTTCACATGGGGGAGGGGGATGAGAGAGGTGTGGGGGGGTACACAAGGGGGGATGAGAGAGGTGTGGGGGGTACACAAGGGGGGATGAGAGAGGTCTGGTACTGTGGGGGTAATAAGACACGGGGGTAGGGGGGGGGGATGAGAGGAGGGGTAGCAGTAGCAGAATGGGGGGTGGAGGGGAAGGGGACCTGAGACGATTTGAGGAGAGGGGGTGTATGGGGGGGTGAGGGGGGGGAGTTATGGGGTACATAGGAGGCGGGAATGGGGTGTATCCGGTACATGAAGGTTGGGGGGTATATGGAATGGGGGGGGGTATTTTAGGGACAGGTATGAGAAGGGAGAGAGGGTCAGTTGGGGGCAGTGTGGGTGAAGGGGGTGGTACTTGGGGTGTAGTTGGGTGGGGTACATTGATGGGGGAGGAGTATGGAAGTGTAGGGGGGGTGGGTCATGGAGGAGGGGGGGGGGCTATATGTGAGAAGATGTATGAAGAATAGGTGGGGAGGGGTGTAGGAAGGTGCACATGTGGGGGAGGGGTACATGGGAGAGCGTGTATATGGGGTGTACTTAGGGGGGGGGCCGGGGAAAGAGGGGTAGGGAGATGTATGGGGAGGGGGGGGGCGCACGAGTGTTATATGGTGTGAAGAGAGGATCATGGGGGTGGTGGTATATGAGGTGAGATAAGGGGAGGATAGTAAGGGGTATTATGGGTGGGGGGGGGGTATTGGTTCTCATTGGGGGGGGGGGGTGGAGGGGACAGTGCAGAGGAGGAGAAGCAATGGGAGAGACGGGATGAATAATATAGATGGAGAGAGATGGGGGGGGGGGGGGACAAGAATACCATCCCCACTGTGAAGCATGGTGGTGGATCACTGAAGTTTTGGGGGTTTGTGGGTCCTAAAGGCAGATTTGTATGAAGTAACAAATAGGGTGTTGGGGGGGGGGGGGGTAGAAATTGGGGATAAGGAAGAGTGAGGTCAGAGCAGGAAGGATATGGGGGCCCTGGAGGAGTATGTGAGGGGGAGGGGCTGAGAGGTGGTGGGGTGTGATGGTCTATAGAGAGGGGGGGGGGGATCAGAACATGAGATTTGGGGGGGATCAAAGTCGGTGTGAAGAAAAACACTTCTGGTTTTGAGGTGTCACCAGACCAGGAAGCGTGGGGAACTTCCATCGGGGACACCTTTCCTGGACGTCCCTCACTTTGTGGAGGTTTTCTCTCACTTCCTGTGTTCTTCCCAGGACAGGAAGTGAAGGGAAGTCCCCCCGATAGGACACAGGTGAACAATACGTTTGGTGGTCTGCGTTGCTCGTGTCTCCGGCGGTGTCCTGACTGTCCCGCCTTCTCTTCCAGGTATGCAAATGAAGAGCCCGGAGAAGAAACGTCGCAAGTCAAACACTCAGGTATGGAGGAGCGGGGGGGGTTGGACTCTTCGGGTACGGAGGAGGAGCGGGGGGGTTCGACGGAGGAGGAGCGGGGGGGTTGGACTTCTCGGGTACGGAGGAGGAGCGGGGGGGTTGGACTCCTCGGGTACGGAGGAGGAGCGGGGGGGTTGGACTTCGGGTACGGAGGAGGAGCGGGGAGGTTGGACTCTCGGGTACGGAGGAGGAGCGGGGGGGGTTGGACTCTCCTCGGGTACGGAGGAGGAGCGGGGGGGTTGGACTTGGACTCTCGGGTACGGAGGAGCGGGGGGTGTTGGACTCCTCGCGTACGGAGGGGGGGGGGTTGGACTCCTCGGGTACGGAGGAGGAGCGGGGGGGTTGGACTCCTCGGGTACGGAGGAGGAGCGGGGGGGTTGGACTCCTCGGGTACGGAGGAGGAGGGGGGGGTTGGAGCGGGGGGGGGGTTGGTGGGACTCCTCGGGTACGGAGGAGGAGCGGGGGGGGTTGGACTCCTCGGGTACGGAGGAGGAGCGGGGGGGGTTACGGAGGAGGAGCGGGGGTTGGACTCCTCGGGTACGGAGGAGGAGGACTCCTCGGGTACGGAGGAGGAGCGGGGGGGGGGTTGGACTCCTCGGGTACGGAGGAGGAGCGGGGGGGGTTGGACTCCTCGGGTACGGAGGAGGAGCGGGGGGGGTTGGACTCCTCGGGTACGGAGGAGGAGCGGGGGGGTTGGACTCCTCGGGTACGGAGGAGGAGAGGGGGGGGTTGGACTCCTCGGGTACGGAGGAGGAGCGGGGGGGTTGGACTCCTCGGGTACGGAGGAGGAGCGGGGGGGGTTGGACTCCTCGGGTACGGAGGAGGAGGAGCGGGGGGGGGGGGGGGGTTTGGACTCCTCGGGTACGGAGGAGGAGCGGGGGGGACTCCTCGGGTACGAGGAGGAGCGGGGGGGGGTTGGACTCCTCGGGTACGGAGGAGGAGCGGGGGGGGTTGGACTCCTCGGGTACGAGGAGGAGGAGCGGGGGGGGGGTTGGACTCCGGGTCGGGAGGAGGGGGGGGTTGGACTCCTCGAGGAGGAGCGGGGGGGGTTGGACTCCTCGGGTGGAGGAGGAGCGGGGGGGGGTTTGGACTCCTCGGGTACGGAGGAGGAGCGGGGGGGGTTGGACTCCTCGGGTACGGAGGAGGAGCGGGGGGGGGGGGGGTTGGGGAAGCGGTGGGGGTTGGGACTCCCTCGGGTTCCTGTGTGAATCGCATGCGATGTGCGGGGAATGCGGGGCGGTTCCTGTGTGAATCGCATGCGATGTGCCGCACCGCATCAATGTGAACCCGGGCTGAAAGTAGTGCGGGAAAACTGTTTAAAGTCGTTACCACCTTCAGTCGCATCGGTTTGAATGGGTACCATTGAAAGGAATGGCGCGTGACTTTTCACGCGACTTTGATGTCCGGAGTCGCAGGACGGGTCGCATGAGTGTGAATGGCGCCTCAGGCTGGGTTGACGCGGTGCGGGACACTGCTTATAAATTGCGCAGGAATCGCACCGCACTCCTGTTCGGGAACGCCATGCGATGGAGGTGCGGGAAACGCACAGGAATGGCAGCATTTCTCGCACCGCGTCCATGTGAGGCGGGGCTTAATGTCGTCTTTGTTGGGGATCAGTAAATCGTTTTGTGAGATGAAGGTGTCGGGGCGTTTATTAATGGCTGTCAGTCTGGGTCGCTGGATTGGCCCCGTGGATGGCGCTCCACCACCGATGACCTCATTGGTCCTCGGCGTGTCAGTGGCGTGGGTTGGTTTAGCCGTGTGTTGGGAGGTTCCGTGTTTCTATGTAAGGTGTGGCTGACTCCTTTCTCTGTTGCAGGGGCCGTCCTACTCTCACCTGTCGGAGTTTGCCCCGCCTCCAACCCCGATGGTGGACCACCTGGTGGCCTCCAATCCCTTCGAGGATGACTTTGGAGCTCCGAAGGTCAGCGCCACCGCCTCTCCGTTCATGAACAACCCCGTCCCCTTCAGCAGCTACCGCATGCAAGGTGGAATGCCTCACCAGGTACCCCCAGGATATCCGGGAGGGCCCCAGCCAATCAGACGTCAGCATCCGCCCTTTCCACCCAACCAGATGGGCCCCGGGTTCGGCATGCCTCAGAACCCCAACTACGTCCAACCCGGAAACATGAACTTCTCCAACCAGCCCTTCAACCAAGGCATAGGACAGAGCTTTAGCCCCCGGGTGGGCAGATCATACAGGGCCCGGTTGCGGGATTTGGCCCCATGATGTCTCCCACCATGGGTCAGCCTCCCCGCGGAGAACTGGGGCCGGGTCCCGTGTTGAACTCTCCCAGCGGTCCGCCTTTCACCCAAAGGTTTGGCTCGCCCGGTCACCCCTTCGGACAAGCGTCCATTCAGAGGCCAAGCCTTCCGCCCAACGCCAGTCCGTTCTCCGGGGCCGACCAAAACTTCCCTCCGGGGGTGGAGGACCACAGCAAGAACTTGAACCCTCCCAGCAACACCTTCAACCAAGAGCAGCACGTCGGCTCTCCGTCGGCCGTCAACGGCAATCAGCAAACCTTCACTCCCAACAGCGCCCCCCGCGGGAACAGCAGCACGCCAGAGGTCAACAACATCCCCCCCGCCCAGCAAACCCACCGGGAACTCCGGGCACCAACCCCCTCCAGGACTCGTTTATCCCTGCGGGGCGTGCCGCAACGAGGTCAACGACGACCAGGACGCCATATTGTGCGAAGCCTCTTGCCAAAAGTGGTTCCACCGCGAGTGCACGGGGATGACCGAAAGTGCCTACAGTCTGCTGACACGGGAGGCCTCCGCCGTGTGGGCGTGCGACTACTGCCTGAAGACCAAGGACATTCAGCCTGTGTACATCCGAGAGCCCATGGGCCAACTGGTGGCCGCCAACGACGGATGAAGGGACCGGCCCAACAAACTGCCTATTCTGAGCTTTAATGACCGGCGACCTCCAGCGGGAAGGGGGCGTGGCTCGGACCATTCTGACCTGTAAAGTCGGTCCGGGGAGGAACGTGAAGTCGTCTGTGTCACTATGACTCCGTGTTCACCACTTCGAGGGGTCAATGTGAGAACCTGCATTTATCATAGCTGGTGCCCCCCCCCCCCCCGCCTTTGTCCATCTTGGTCTCTTCCAGTGCTTGTACCACATCTATCACAGCTGGTGACCCCCCCCCCTCCCTGCCAAAGTCCACCTTGGTGTCTCCCAGTGCTTCTATTGCATCCATCACAGCTGGTGCCACCCCTTCAAGAGTCCATCATGGTCTCTCCTAGTGCTTGACCTTCATCCATCATAGCTGGTGCCACCACTTCAAGAGTCCATCATGGTCTCTCCTAGTGCTTGACCTTCATCCATCATAGCTGGTGCCACCCCTTCAAGAGTCCATCATAGTCTCTTCCAGTGCTTGACCTTCCCCATCATAGCTGGTGCCACCCCTTCAAGAGTCTATCATGGTCTCTTCCAGTGCTTGGTCCTTCCCCATCATAGCTGGTGCCACCCTTCAAGAGTCCATCATGGTCTCTTCTCTCCTAGTGCTTGACCTTCATCCATCATCAGCTGGTGCCACACCTTCAAGAGTCCATCATGGTCTCTTCCATCCATCACAGCTGGTGCCCCCCTTCCAAAGTCCACCATGGTTTCTTCCAATGCTTTAACTTCATCACAGCTGGTGACCCCTCCCTGACTTTGCCATGGTCTCTTCTAGTGCTTTTACTTCGCAGCTGGTGCCATCCCCCCCTAGAGTCTGCCATGCCCCCTCCCCCGAGTCCACTCTACGGTCAGCTGATCTCTGTATATTCCCGCTAATCTCTGGGGGGTGTGGTCAGGAGGTCTGCCAAACCTTCCACATGTTGGGTAGGCCGAGTGGTCCAAAAGAAAAGCCATCCTGGCTGAAGGTTCTAATGCTTCACCCGTTAATGACACGGTCATTGCAGACTTGGCCGGCCGGAGACCCTTGTTGTGCCGTCAGTCTGTTAGGAATGAGACCCACCGCTTGACCCTCCCGGGGACCAAGTGCATGCAGTAGACTGGTCCATTCTGGTCTGGGGTCGCATTGACCTATAAAAGTGCATCTGGTTCTGGCTGTCGGCTCCACCCCAGGCTAAAGCCCAATTTACGGGCATTTCTATAGGTGGGGCTATAGTACTAGAGCAGCCTACCCTTCTGTGTGTTGTCTCCGCCCCCTCTCCTCTGTGTGCCTCATCTTCTCCGCCCCCTCTCTGTGTGCCTCCTCATCTTCTCCACCCCTCTCTGTGGATGCCTTGTCTGTCTCTCGCCTCCTGTCCTCTGTGCCTTCCTCGCCTGTCTCCGCCCCCTCCACGCCTGTCTCCGCCTCCACGCCTGTCTCCGCCTCCACGCCTGTCTCCGCCTCCACGCCTGTCTCCGCCTCCACGCCTGTCTCCGCCTCCTCGCCTCGCCTGTCTCCGCCTCCTCGCCTGTCTCCGCCTCCTCTCCCTCGCCTGCCTCCGCCCCCTCTCCTCTGCGCCTGCCTCCGCCCCCTCTGCTCTGCGCCTGCCTCGCCTGTCTCCGCCCCCCTTTCTGCGCCTGTCTCCGCCCCCCTCTATGTGCCTGTGCCTCATCTGTCTCTGTCACCCTCCCTCCTCTGCCTCTGTCCTGTCCGCCCCCCTCTCTGTGCCTGCCTCACCTGTCTCCGCCCCCCTCTCCTTTCGTGTGTATGATCGCTCACACCTCATTAGAAATTCTCCGGTTGGGAATCTGGACGATTAATGGCAGTGGGGGTGGAGCTCTGCCTCAGTAACTCCAGGATCATTTGGACCCCTCCATGCACTCGGGCCCCTCGGGGGAGGGGAATTCATGAAATTGTATGACCCCCTTTACCAGCTGCACCTAAGCCGTCCAATCAGGTTGCTTTGTCCCCATATTCCGTAGACTCAGCAGATCTGCAGCAGATTGTACAATGAGGTTGTATAGTGTATGGCCAACCTGAAGGGTTCGTTCACCTGTAGATGAACACAAGCTGTGGATTTGACCTTTGCTGTAGGTGTAGGCCACCTCCCTCCTGAACCCTGACTAAAAAAACTGCCATCGACTGTTGCTAGGACATTGCTAAGACACTCCCAAGCTGATTCGAGCCCCCCTCAGGTGCGCTCCCCCTCCCCCCCGTTGTGGTAGCTCTGAGCTAAGTGATGCTGCAGTGGAGAAGAGCACGGGGCCACACAGCTGTGGGGGGTGTGAGAGCGCCCTCCTGTGACGGTGGAGGTGAGTAGCGACAGCTGGGAGCGTCTTAGCAACGCCCTAGCAACAAGGCAGGACAGGATGTTGCTACCTCCGGGAGTTTTTCTGCCAGGCTTCGGCCTACACCTAAAGCAAGGGCATTATCCAACTTTTAGTCAGCGCCGCAGCGGTCACCACCCGGCGCCCCCTACTGGCATGGACGATTTTTAGGTGGGGGTGAACGAACCCTTTAAGCGTTACAATTTTTGCACCTTCATCAGTCTGCAGATTTTAATAATCGTGTTCGGAAAAAGAGAGAAATCTTCATCTGTTCTGAGCGGTGTGTTGATATTGGCCGTGCTGCACTTAGTGAGCGCTCTCTCTCGGTGGACGCCATGCGGCCCCTTTAAGAGTCGCTCTGCCTTTTTTTCTTGGGGCGGTGTTGATTTGGACGGGGGCGGGGTTTTTCTGGATGGACGGTAATTTGTCACCAAGTGATGAGCCGTCTCCTGAATCTCGCGCCCCGCGACCAAATCCGCAGCCGGTGGCGTCTCTCCAAAGTGCGCCGCCAAGAGAGTACAATGAATGGGCGTGTTTTAAGGAGTACTCTGCTCCACGGGAGATCAGGGTCGATGTAAGAGATCGAAGAATGTCCCATGGAGGCGGCGGCCTTGGGGTGAATCGGTGCTGAAGACACTACAAATGAGGGGGTGGAGATTTTCAAGCACACAGCTGACTTCCTGTCAGGTCATTCTTTAAATGAAAACGGTCAGCCTCCTGGAGCCTAAAACGGTGGATCTGAGGAGTGAGCTGTAAATATTGGGGGGGGGGGGGGAGAGAGGGGGGTGTACATACTATGAAATGTTCTGCAAGCGCTTTAACATATTACACCATGTAGTCAAGCAATGGCGGACTATGACCTGACTACACAGTCTACTACGGCTCGGCGACGCAGTCTACTACGGCTCGGCGACGCAGTCTACTACGGCTCGGCGACGCAGTCTACTACGGCTCGGCGACACAGTCTACTACGGCTCGACTACGACTCGGCGACGACTCGGCGACACAGTCTACTACGGCTCAACTACGACTCGGCGACGCAGTCTACTACGGCTCGGCGACGCAGTCTACTACGGCTCGGCGACGCAGTCTACTACGGCTCGGCGACGCAGTCTACTACGGCTCGACTACGACTCGGCGACGACTCGGCGACACAGTCTACTACGGCTCGACTCTACGACTCGGCGACACAGTCTACTACGGCTCGGCGACACAGTCTACTACGGCTCGACTACGACTCGGCGACACAGTCTACTACGGCTCGACTACGACTCGGCGACACAGTCTACTACGGCTCGACTACGACTCGGCGACACAGTCTACTACGACTCGGCGACACAGTCTACTACGGCTCGACTACAACTCGGCGACACAGTCTACTACGGCTCGACTACACAGTCTGCTATAGCTTGACTACATAGTGCATTATGACCTGACGACACGGTCTACTACACCTCGACTAAGACTCCGCTACAGTCTACTATGGCTTTGTTTCACAGATTCTTTAATCAGAAGAAAAGCATTCCTGGCCTTTCCAGATGCCCTTTCAGAGACTCCACCGCCTCTACCGAGACTCCACCTTCACGGGGTTTGCACACTACCTCACTTTAAAAAAAAAAAAAACCTGCAACCCCAATGGTGACACAGCCTGGAGGTGCCCCCTGGAGCTTCACTCTCCTTGGTGTGAATATTTGTGAATCTGCTTCTGTGTTATGGACTGTGGGCCGTCCCAATCTGTCCCTTGTATCCCCCCCCCCCCCCCCCCTTCCAGTGATTATGCACTTAATGAACACAGCGGCGTCGTTTCCCCTCCCAAGTGGACTATAAGCCATGACTTGGAGAACAATCAGAGCCGACAGGGGGTGCAGGACTTTGACTGCTATATAATAGTGGCGCCCCCTGCTGGCTGCTTGGATCCCCTCCGTGTAGGTGTCCGTTACTTCTATGAATGGCGGGGGAGGTGTTTGTGTATTTCCAGCTGTGGATCTTGTGTACTGCTGGTCTAAGCCGTTCTATAAAGATATGTGATGTACGTCTCCTTGTCTTATTTCTCACCTGGGGGGGGGGGGGGGGGGGGGGTTTCACAGTTATAAATACGAGACATACAGAAGACATGGTGGTGGGAGAGCGCTGACTCGAGGGTGAGGAACAACAACCAGCCACGCTCCAATGACATCCGCGAGTAGTAGAGCTTTATTGTTCCAGACAAGATCACAGAAGGTCCACCCAGGTGTCCACTTCAGGTGTATGACCTGGAAAGGGCGGAGTCAGAGAATCTGCTACGGATCAATGTAGTTAATGGTTTGATGTAGTCTACGTTGAATCTGTATGGTCTACATACGGTCCCCACTACGAACCCTGTCCGGTCTACTACGGTCCCCACTACGACCCTGCCCGGTCTACTACGGTCCCCACTACGACCCTGCCCGGTCTACTACGGTCCCCACTACAACCCTGTCCGGTCTACTACGGTCCCCACTACGACCCTGCCCGGTCTACTACGGTCCCCACTACGACCCTGCCCGGTCTACTACGGTCCCCACTACGACCCTGCCCGGTCTACTACGGTCCCCACTACGACCCTGCCCGGTCTACTACGGTCCCCACTACGACCCTGCCCGGTCTACTACGGTCCCCCACTACGACCCTGCCCGGTCTACTACGGTCC